GGCCTAATTATTCTACTTATTCTTCACAATTCATCCAGTCAGAGAACAGGAATGTATCAGCTCAGCGGTATTTTCAATCAAACCTAGCTCATTTTAATATCCACTGTATCACCACCACTGTTCTTACCAAAAAGCTCCAGGCTAGGAGAAATTTAACAGGAATCAGTCAATTGACTAGAGAATACATGTGGGAAAATCACCACCTCTTTAGACCAAGTGCTTCCAAGCTTTTGGGAACTAGAATAACTTTCAATTAAACTCACTAAAATAAGGCAACTAGAGCTGGTTGCTCAGGGCTGTGTCCAGTCGGGTTTTGAATATCTCCAAGGATGGAGACTCCCCACCTTCTCTGGGCAGCCCATTGCAGTGTTCAGTCACCCTCACAGTAAAAAAGGTTTTTCGTCTGTTTAAATGGAATTTCCCAAGTTTCAGTTTGTGTCCATCACCTCTTGTCTTGTCTCTGGAGGTCACTGAGAAGAGTCTGGCTTCAGCTTCTTTATGCCCCTGGCAATCAGGTACATATTGATAAGATGCCCCTGAGCCTTGTCTCCTCCTGGCTGAATGGTCCCGGCTCTCTCAGCCTCTCCTCAGATGTCAGATGCTCCAAGTCTTTAATCATCTTTCTAGCCCTTCACCAGACTCTCTCCCATATCTCCATGTCTCTCTTGTACTGGGGAGCCCAGCACTGGACCCAGCATTCCAGGTGTTTCTCACCAGGGCTTAGTAAAAGGATCACCTGCCTCCATCTGCTCGAGATGTTCTGCCTAGTGCAGCCCAGGAGGCTGTTGGCTTTCTTTGCCACAAGGGCTCATCGCTGGCTCATGCTCAACTTGGTGTCCTCAGGACACCAGGGCCTTCCCAGCAGGTTGGCCCCATCCTGTTCTGTTGCCTGGAGCTATTCTTCCCCAGGGGCAGGACTTGGCATTTCCATTTGCTGAACTTCATGAGGTTCCTGTCATCCCCTGTCCCCAGCCCGTCGAGGTCCCTCTGGATGGCAGCATGACCCTCTGGTATATCAGCCACTGCTCCCAGCTTTGTGTCATCTGCAAACTTGCTGAGCACGTGCCAGCGTCCAGGTTGTTAATGAAGGTGTCGGACAGTATCAGCCCCTGGGGGTAGCATTCCCTCTCACTGCTATGGTGGTGATGGAAAACAACAGACTTAGCCCCCTCAGCTGATTTCTGAGAAAGCCTGTCACAGACATTGCTGCTGGCCAATGTATGTGTGACAATAAACATAAACTCACATTTCTTTTGTTGTTTAATTTTCTTAATGGGTAGTTTTATGCAGATAGGCAGAATGATGCTGCCAGCCTGCAGGTCCCCGTTTCCCAGCAAAATTTTTGCTTCAGTAACCCCCAGCAGCCAGCATGGCAACGAGACCCTTTTTATGCAAATAGATTCAGCAGCATTTCTACTGGTCCCTGCACGAGTCATGATTTGCCTTTTGAATTTTGGTGAAGCCATTAAGATCAAACATGGGAGCAGGAAAAGACCACCTCCCTTTTCTCCTCCCTGTGGAAGTGGGGGGCAGGGGGAGCCGGTGCGCTGCAGCTTGCTCACCAGCGAGGTGGAAGGGAAATGAAATGCAAATGAAATGAACACAGGCGGAAAATATTTTGTCACTTATTAAAGAAGAGGATGGTCCCTACACAAGTGGATTGCTGTCACCAACAGCACTCGCTTCGATCCCTCTAAGCTTGTGTGGAATTAATTAGGTAAAACCCCTAGCATTTACCTTGGGCTGTGGTATCACCTGGAGGAGACTTGGCATGAATTAGCGCTGGATTATCATAGGAGCTTGAGCTGTGAAATGACCTGTCTAGTGACAGTCTGCCAAGTAATTCACAGGAGGTGGCAAACAAAGTGGCATTTTCATAATTTTAATTAGGTTGGGCGGGGGGGGAGGGGAAGTTTAGCTTGAATAGAGTAAGAGGCAGAATGATGACCTTACTGAACATCTCACAGACTTCCTTTTATGCGGCTGGGATATGGGAACGCACTCTGCAAATTTTCTCAAGTGTTTCCTCACTGCTTAGAGAATTTAAAAAGTGAGGCACTGATGTTTTTTTGATAAGATAATAGAAGATAAGATTGCAGTGGAAAAAAGGCTCGGTTCAGGCATCAGAGAAAGAGTTTCTGTGACCTCTGAGTAGGGATGGATGTACTGCATGTAGAGGCTAGAAAAATGCCACCAGATGTCTCTGCAGCCTAAGAGATGTAGGGAGGCTGCTGGGCACACCAGCACCGCCACGGACTGCCCTGCCCGCCTTTGCTCTTCAGCAAAGGGGAGATTTAATAGAGAAAGAGGGGCAGGCAAACCCCGAATTAAACCCACGCATATCAACCACTCCTCCTTCTCCCCAAACGCAAACGTTCGCGACCCCCGTCCAGATCGCGACTGGTTTCTCCCTAAGTGAGTGAGCCAGATTAAGCCTCAAAGTAACTTTTTCTTCTGTTTTGGGGAAAGGCCGTTCATGCTGCTTCACAGGCAGTGCTTTTGCCTGAACAGAACAAGTCTGTGCAAGGCAAAGTTCTGACTTGCTTGTCTCCGGGGTCACTGTCGCTGTGCTTGTGACACCAGCTGAACACCCTGAGAAGCAATAATCAATCCTGTCCCTCAGTGTCTCCATAAAATAGCGAATTTAAATCGTTTACCAAAAATCTCACTGGGAATAAGCGCATGGTCAGGCATAGGATACATGGACTTAATTTACTCCTCCCTTATATTAGCAGTGGTGATTACAATTGCATACAGAAAGATCAAAGTGTTTTCTGATTCCCAGGTCTCAGCCACAAGAATCACAGCACCATTTACCACTCAAGACACCAATTATTTACGCTACCAGTGAATTAAAAAAAAAAAAAAGAAAAAAAGAAAAAGAAAAAACTCAAAACTAATCTTCTATGTTTAGCTCAGACCTCCTATCTGCATTTTAGGGTAATGCAAAGGGCAGCCAGGCTGGTTCTCTTTGTTGCCCTGTGGGCAGTTTTAAATTTCACTGAGGAAGGGGGTGGTAAGGGAAGGGAGAGTGGCAAAAATTAGATCTGAGGGAGGTCAACTCTATCCACTTAACTGCTATTGACCCACTTGTAACCAGAGCTGAGCCCAGCCTGGCTATTGGAATTCCTCTGGCCACATCCCTGACAAAGTGCAGGGCACAAAAACATCTAAATCCCCGTAGCACAGTGAAGTCCCTCCAGCCTGAAAACCACCATAGATACTGCTCGTCTCATAGCTGCTTGAGGCTGAGTGTAATAAGAGGAGAAGCTGAGGTAAATTTACTGGAGGATTAAGAGGAAGAAGGTACTTTCTTCCCTCTTGCTGGGTAAAGTGTGGAAAGCCCCAGGGAATTATGCTCTGTGTTTCAGTTGATGTACTAAAAAACCCAAACCTTTCTGAGAAAGGATCTTTACAATTATGAAAATCTTGTGCTTTAGCCTGATTCCCCAGTTCCTGAAAAGTTCCCCAACTTGCAGCTTGTTCTACACCATTTTAGGGCTGCAAAAGTAGCAAATGGAGCTATATAATGCTCCATTTTTATAATGGAGCATCAGGCCCGTATTTCTCTCCAGACTCCCAAGTATACTTTCCTCATGCAAATACATGAAAAGGAAACCAGATAGGCCTAGCCTCAGTATGAGAAAATTGTGTTAATTTTAATAACTTACAGTGTAACTGTTATACCCTGATGCAGTAGCTATACTGAGAGAAAATAAGCACCAACATGCAACCCAAAAATGTGTCTATTAAAGTAAAATAATAATAATAAAAAAGCCTTGGCTTACATTAGCTATAGGTTTGGCTGAAAAGCTGAGCCTTGGACTGTATGAGCTGGCTCTGGCTCTGCTGGTCCACAGAAGGACTGAATTCATTACTCAGGAAACCTTCACGGAGGGCACGCTGCCTCAAATCCCAGGGAAGCAACGTCGATGAATAAGAATGGACACAGGCTAATTCAAACCCTTCTCCCATCTTTCAAATCAAGTTAGTGATTTCTCTTTTCTTTGTGGTTCCTAGCCAATTGTCATTTTCAGTGCATCCTATCGCCCTGCAGTACAAACTGTTCTGGGAATACACTTCATTCCTCCAGCAGCCTCTGAGCAATGCCAAGGAATGTAGCTCTTCTGGTTACAATTAAGAAATTCAACATACAAATGCTCCCCAAGTGCACCAGAACCTGCTTGTGACCTTCACGCAACCGAATCTGAAGGAGTTGAAGTAATTTTTTGCTCTTTGGTTCCAATAAAGAATGGAGGGGAAGAGGGGAGAAAAAAACCCCATTCCTCCAGAGAGGCACCGTGGTTTCAGGGGTCAGCTGCACAGAAACTGGCACAGGGAAATGCAGTTTCCAGGGCTGCGTTCCCACGAGGAGCTCCGGGCTGCGGGGTCGCTGGGAGGATGCCAGCCCGTGGCTGGCAGAGCCGACGCGCTGCGGCGTTCTTGCTGGGCGGGCAGGTTTAATTCCCAGCAGCGCACGACGGCAAATCTGCCGGCAGGACGAGCGGAGACGGCGGTGGAGCCTACCTGCCTGCTGCACCGCTCTCCCGGGGTCCCCTGGTCCCCAGAGCCAGCGCTAAGCAGCTGGGTAGGGCTGCCTCTTGCTGCCTCAGCTCCATCCCCGTGGAACGTCTCTCTCTGGCTGAACTCTTTTGGGGCCTCTGCGTAGACGCTTTGAGAGCAAACTCTGCCGCTGCCTTTTATCATGTTACCTCTCTCCCAGGATTGTGTCCAGGTGAGGCAGATTAAGAAGCTATTACAGAATAACTCTATAGGATCTATTTATAAATATAGCATCTATTTAAGCAAAAAAAGCAAATACTTTTTGATCATGAGCATGAACATGTTAGATGTTTTTAAGGTTCCCCATTCCCCCCTCTTCAGCCTCTGCATTTTCAGCCATAAGCC